GCAAAAAAACGAACCCGAGCAAGCCCTGACCCGAGTTACCCCTGCTGATTGGGGGCTCCGCGCCTCCGGCATCCCCGGGGCCCCGCCTCGGCAGAGGCCCCCAGTGCCGGTTCGTGGAACGGGGCGGGAGGGACGTCCCCCGGGGCACATCACCAAACCATGGCCCACTAAACCAGGGCTCATTTCGATTCCTCCGATTTCGATGCGATTCGATTTCGATGGCTTCCGATTCCGATTCGATTGGACTTCGGATTCCGATTCGGGTTCCGATGTCTTCTTGGACGCATATTATCCTGCCGATTTCCGCCGATCCGATTCGTATCGATCGCCGATCCGACTTATCGATTCGGTTCTGGGCTCTCCTGCACTAAACTCAGTTCTGCTCCTCGGGGGCCTGGAGACCGACACCAACACCAACATCGGCGGTGTGCTCCTAGGGGGACGAACAATTACATAAGCACAAAAACTCCGAGGTCCGCGCGGATTTCTCGGATTGGCGCTGTACCCCCCTGGCGGCGCCTCCGGCGCCGCCCCTGGCGCGCTCCGCGCGCCAGGGAGGGGGGTCCAGCGCCGATCCGAGAAATCTGCGCGGACCTCCGAGTTTTTCCTTATGTTTATGTCGTTGTTCGTTCCCCAACAGACACCCTGACAGCAACACCAACGTCGACGGTGTGCCTCCACCGAAGGGATGATCCCGATCTCGGCGATGGTGGTAGTATCCGGGCTTCCTCGGTGGCCGAAGGATTACCACCAGCACCAACATCCAGGATCATCTTCCCCCGGTGGAGGCAGACCCATGTGTTGGCCCTTTCCAGGCCTCCAACCTCCTTCATTGAGGATCGAGGGTCAAGGACCTGTTGGGACGGCTTCGTCGCTGGATGGGTCCGCCACAAAATCCTGGTCGGAACACGCTCGAGAACAGGTCCAGGGGCGATTTTCAGCGGGGGGGCCTTCTTGGGGGCGTCCACGTCGCCGATCGAGCAGCTCGAAAACTTTGTCATGATGGACCCTGTGCGGAGCCTTGGGACCAATATGGAGCGGGCTTTGCCGAACGCGACGGGTGTTTTCCGAAGTCGGGCCCGCCGGGTCCGTTCCATGCCGCGGGGCCAAGAGCAGTTGGCCGCGGCGGAGCGCTGGTCTTGGGTGAGGGGTCGGGAATTCCAGGGCCCGCGTCGCGACACATCACGACGTCGGAGATTCAGATCCCTTTGTGTTTTCCCCCCCACCACCTTTTCAAAACGGATGTTGCACGAGAGGCCATCCCCATGTGTCTGAGAGCCGAGCTGACCAGCGGTCGACTGCGGATGAGCGGAGATTGAAGAAGAGGGCGCCTGAGAGCGAATAGCCGTACAGCGTCCTGACCAGAGCAAAGATGGCACGCTCCCCCGGATGAGAACGCGAACCCAGCAGCTCGAAGTTCGATGATGGCCGTCCGGGTCTCAGACTACACGATGCCTCACTACATACGGTCGAAGCCTACTCAGCTTGGTTGCCCAGGTCGTTGTGGCCCGGGCTCCGCATAGGCATTTTGGCGCAAGCCACGAAACGGTTCAAAGGCTCAGTGCTCAGGCGCGTTCATACAATCCCGTAGACCTGCAGGACACTCCCCACCTGCACACCAGTCCTCTGCTAACTGCTATACAGTATACTACACCGTGCACCCTCCGCGGCGCACTCATGGCGACCACCTGCCCCGGCGCCGCCCTCGGCAGCCTGCACTGCCGGCGGCCCAGGCCCCCCGCGGGCGCCGACCGCGTGGGGGCACTGGCCCAGGACACGCTGCGGCTCTTGGAGCTCGCGATCTCCGACCTCCGGGGCGGCGAGGCCCGCGCGGCCGGCCCGGCCCCGCCGCGGCTGGCCGCGGAGCCCACCCGGCCGGCCCCCTCGCGGCGGAGCCCGGCGTCGAAGCCGTCGGGGGCCCGGCGCCAGCCACGCGGGCCGCCCCCGGCCGCGGCCGCCGCCTCCGCGGCCGCCGCCCGCGGGCCGCCGCGGCGCTCGCCTCCGCGCCCGCGGGCCGCGCCTTCCGCCCGCCGCCCGGCCTCGCGCCGGCCTCCGCGCCGCCCGGCCTCGCCCCGCCCGGCCTCGCCTGGGCGCCGCCGGGCCTCGGGGCGCCGCCCGGCCTGGAGCTCCGACTCGCCGACGAGAAGATGCTCCAGCAGTGCGCCAGCGCCGAGCACTCCTGGGAGGTGGCCTCCACGTGCTCCGGGGGCGCCGAGTCCGACTCCTCGTCGGCGCCGACCACGGCCAGCGAGCCCAGGTGGCTGCTGCCCCCGCGGTGGGCGACGGAGGCCGCCTGAGAGGCGGCGTGAGCTTCGGGGCCCCGGTAATTATAGACACATAACGCGCCTGCAGGGCGCCCTGGCGCCCGCCTCGCGCTGGCCGGCGCTGGCCGCCTCCGCCTCCGCGCTGCCTCCCTCCCCCCCCTCAGACTCAGGCCCTCCCTGCTGCCCCGTGGCGGCTTTCCTGGTGCCCCTGCAGCCCTTCTTCGTGCCCCTGCGGTGCCCCACGTGGTGTCCAGGTGGCACCCCAGGGGCGGCCCTGCTCACGTCGTCTCGCCCTCGCCCGCCGTCCGGGCCGACCCGTCTCGTGGGTCTCGCGGGTGGCTCTCTCTGTCTGCCTCGTGCTCCAGGCAGCACGCCGCCGTCTGCAACCGCACAGAGTCCATATTCAAGGCGAGGCTGGAACAGTGCCCCGTCTTCAGGCCTACAGCTCGGGTCTGACAGCGCACGCCACTCTGCCTTCGATGCGAGCCGGGGCTGGAACAGTGCCCGGCCGTTGCTTTTTTCTCGCCGGCCAGCAGCTCGGGTCCAGCAGGCGCGCCATGCCGCCGTCGATGCAGAAAAAAAGGCGCCTGGATCGGGTCTCAGTTCGAGGGCCCTTTTCGACCCTGTACTGCACGAGAGGCTTCACCTTGAGCGTGGTCGAGGCCTGGCTGATCAGATGACCATGCGCTCTCAGAGACTTGCGCATTCACCCTGCACTCGCCGAGGCAGGCGCGGAAGCAGGGCGAGCAGCACGAGGGGGAGGAAGGAAGAGGACATGAGGCCCAGGGGAATATCGAAGGAAGGCGCCTAGTGCGAATCACCTCCACCCCCTGCCCTTTTCAGAACGCCGATGTGGGCAAACGTAGGGCCGACGTCTTGCCAAGTGGTTGGGTAATCTGTTCCCCGAGCCGTTCTGGAAACCCTTCTGGGAACACTTGAGGGCGGAAGAGCGCGAGGAGGACCTTTGGGGCCTCCTGGGGCCTATAAGGAGCCGTTTGGTCGTCGGAGGCCGGCTTGAGGGCTTCAATGGGCCGTCTTGAGGCCTTCGTGGGACGCCTTCGATTCGAGCCACCTCGAAGGGTTTCTGGAGCCGTCTTGGGCCTTCTTGTGGGCTGGGGCTCCAGGGCCGTCTTGGGGTCCCCTTGGCCCGTCTTGGGGCCCTCTTGGGGGCTTGTGGGGTCGACGTGGGTCTGGGGGCCATCTTGGATCCCTCCAGGGGCCGCCTTACGGCGGTCCGGGGACCCGAGAGCGCAAGAACGCGCAAATCATGCAGAATAACCTTCTGGACAATGCGTGCTGTTGGCCTCGTACGGCCCTCCTGAAGGGTCTCTTGGAGTCCTTTATGGGCCGTCTTGGAGGCCTCTCATAGGCCGTCTTGAAGCCCTCCGGGGCCGTTTGGAGTCCATCTTGAGCCGTCTTGGAGGCATTTGTTCGGCCTATATCCTGGGCCCTCTTAGGGCCGTATAGGCGTCTTGGAGGCCATCTTGGACCATCATTGCGACCTTAGAGGCATGTTTTAGCTGCTCCCCGGTTCTTCCAGTGGGCCGGCGGGTTGTGCCAGATCGAGGCCAGTTGGAGCGTTCTGGACGGGTTCAGTCAGCTATCCTCCAGCACGCCAACAGTCCCTCTTGTTAGCAACGGGAGGCGGTAAATCTTTTGGCGCTATCCCGCCATCGCGTCTTGGTCGTGGACAAGCGACCTCTTGGATGCCTCGTGGAACGTCTCAGGAAGCCTCGTGGGCGCCTCTCGGGGGCGTCTTGTGCGCATCCCGAGGGGGGTTCCTTGGGAGCCTCTGGAGCGTGTTTCTTTATTGCTTGGGGCATGATGGGCATTCTAGCCCCCCACCCCCCCTCCCCCCCTTATAACGTAACGCCCCTCCCCCCCAGTGCGCTCCGGGCACTGCCACCGTGCGCATCGGGCACACGGCGGGGGGGAGGCGGCCTGGCGGCCGGGAGGCCTTACATTATACCCCCCCCAGCCTGGCCCCCTCCCCCCCCCCCCTCCTGTAATGCCCACGATCGCCGAAAGTAAGGAAACGCGCTCTCGGGAGCCTCTGTGGGGCCTTTTTGGGCGGCTCTTAGGGGGGCCTGCTGGCCGTCCATCGTGGGCCCTCCTGGGAAGGAGCGCCCACGTGCCCCTCCGAGCTCCCCCTCCGCTCGCTCCCCTTCTTGGGGGGGGCCTTTCGGGGGCCTCCTCCTCCTCCTCCTCCTCCCCTCCTCCTCCTCCTCCTTCCCCTCCTCCTCCTCCCTCCTCCTCCCTCCTCCTCCTCCTCCTCCTCCTCCTCCTCCTCCTCCTCCTCCTCCTCCTCCTCCCTCCCTCCCCTCCTCCCCTCCCCCCTCCCTCCCTCCCTCCCCCCCTCTCCCTCCCTCCCTCCCTCCCTCCCTCCCTCCCCCTCTCGCTCCCCTTTTTAGGGGGCCTTTCGGGGGCCTCCCATGGGCCCCTCTTGGGGAGGCCATCCACGTTCAGCAGGGGGAAAAACGTACAGACACCATGAATCATCGATTCCTGGGAAAATCTGAGAAAACATCGGAAGTGAAGGTGAACATCCAGAACATATGAACAAAAATGTGTATCCTGGGATTTGTGTGTGTATTTTTGTGTGCCGAGCTGACCAGCGGTCGACTGCGGATGAGCGGAGATTGAAGAAGAGGGCGCCTGAGAGCGAATAGCCGTACCGCGTCCTGACCAGAGCAAAGATGGCACGCTCCCCCGGATGAGAACGCGAACCCAGCAGCTCGAAGTTCGATGATGGCCGTCCGGGTCTCAGACTACACGATGCCTCACTACATACGGTCGAAGCCTACTCAGCTTGGTTGCCCAGGTCGTTGTGGCCCGGGCTCCGCATAGGCATTTTGGCGCAAGCCACGAAACGGTTCAAAGGCTCAGTGCTCAGGCGCGTTCATACAATCCCGTAGACCTGCAGGACACTCCCCACCTGCACACCAGTCCTCTGCTAACTGCTATACAGTATACTACACCGTGCACCCTCCGCGGCGCACTCATGGCGACCACCTGCCCCGGCGCCGCCCTCGGCAGCCTGCACTGCCGGCGGCCCAGGCCCCCCGCGGGCGCCGACCGCGTGGGGGCACTGGCCCAGGACACGCTGCGGCTCTTGGAGCTCGCGATCTCCGACCTCCGGGGCGGCGAGGCCCGCGCGGCCGGCCCGGCCCCGCCGCGGCTGGCCGCGGAGCCCACCCGGCCGGCCCCCTCGCGGCGGAGCCCGGCGTCGAAGCCGTCGGGGGCCCGGCGCCAGCCACGCGGGCCGCCCCCGGCCGCGGCCGCCGCCTCCGCGGCCGCCGCGGCGCGCGGCGCTCGCCTCCGCGCCCGCGGGCCGCGCCTTCCGCCCGCCGCCCGGCCTCGCGCCGGCCTCCGCGCCGCCCGGCCTCGCCCCGCCCGGCCTCGCCTGGGCGCCGCCGGGCCTCGGGGCGCCGCCCGGCCTGGAGCTCCGACTCGCCGACGAGAAGATGCTCCAGCAGTGCGCCAGCGCCGAGCACTCCTGGGAGGTGGCCTCCACGTGCTCCGGGGGCGCCGAGTCCGACTCCTCGTCGGCGCCGACCACGGCCAGCGAGCCCAGGTGGCTGCTGCCCCCGCGGTGGGCGACGGAGGCCGCCTGAGAGGCGGCGTGAGCTTCGGGGCCCCGGTAATTATAGACACATAACGCGCCTGCAGGGCGCCCTGGCGCCCGCCTCGCGCTGGCCGGCGCTGGCCGCCTCCGCCTCCGCGCTGCCTCCCTCCCCCCCCTCAGACTCAGGCCCTCCCTGCTGCCCCGTGGCGGCTTTCCTGGTGCCCCTGCAGCCCTTCTTCGTGCCCCTGCGGTGCCCCACGTGGTGTCCAGGTGGCACCCCAGGGGCGGCCCTGCTCACGTCGTCTCGCCCTCGCCCGCCGTCCGGGCCGACCCGTCTCGTGGGTCTCGCGGGTGGCTCTCTCTGTCTGCCTCGTGCTCCAGGCAGCACGCCGCCGTCTGCAACCGCACAGAGTCCATATTCAAGGCGAGGCTGGAACAGTGCCCCGTCTTCAGGCCTACAGCTCGGGTCTGACAGCGCACGCCACTCTGCCTTCGATGCGAGCCGGGGCTGGAACAGTGCCCGGCCGTTGCTTTTTTCTCGCCGGCCAGCAGCTCGGGTCCAGCAGGCGCGCCATGCCGCCGTCGATGCAGAAAAAAAGGCGCCTGGATCGGGTCTCAGTTCGAGGGCCCTTTTCGACCCTGTACTGCACGAGAGGCTTCACCTTGAGCGTGGTCGAGGCCTGGCTGATCAGATGACCATGCGCTCTCAGAGACTTGCGCATTCACCCTGCACTCGCCGAGGCAGGCGCGGAAGCAGGGCGAGCAGCACGAGGGGGAGGGACATGAGGCCCCGGGCAATATCGAAGACGAACTCCGTGCCTTTTTGAAACGCCTATGTGGGCAAACGTTGGGCCGAAGTCTTGCCAAGCTATTGGACAATGTATTCCCCGAGCCGTTGTGGAAACCCTTGGCGGACCACTTGGGGGAGGAAGAGCGAGAGGAGGAGGAGAAGGAGGATGAGAGGGAGGAGAAGAAGGACGAGGAGGAGAAGGACCAGGAGGAGGAGGAGGAGGCCTCTTGGGGCCGTCTTGGGGCATCCTCAAGGCCCCTTTGGGGCCTCTCTTGGGGGCCTAGAAGGGGCCGCTTGGTCTTCGGAGGCCATCTTGGGGGGCTTACTTGGCCGTCTTGGAGCCTTCTTGGAACGCTTTCGGACCATCTTGGAGGTGTCTGGGGCCGTCTTGGGCCTTCTCGGGTGGGCGGGGCTCTTGGGCCGTCTTGGGGCCCCCTTGGCACGTCTCGGGGCCCTCTTGGGGGCGTGTGGGGTCGTCTGGGGGCCGTCTTGGAGGCCTCCCGGGCCGCCTTGGACCGTCCTGAGCTCGAATGCGCGAGAACGCGAGAATCATGCAGAACAATTTCCCGAACAATGCGTTATTGTGAAGGCCGTACGGCCAGTGCCGCCGACCCTGGAAGAAGACCCCGATGATGAAGGTGACAGCCGGAGTTGTTCGGGTAGTCTGGGACCAGACTCCCCGAACAGTTTCCTTGAAGCCCCATGAGGTTCCCAAGAACGTATGACGAGGAGCACAGTTTGGCCAAGCTATCTGCTTATGTTTTTTCGCAGAAGAGGGGGGAATCAGGAGAGGGAGGAGGAGGAGGAGGAGGAGGAGGAGGAGGAGGAGGAGAGGAAGTGGGAGGACCAGGGGGAGGAGGAGGAATAGGGAGGAGGAGGAGGAGGAGGAGGAGGAGGGAGGAGGAGGACAACAAGGAGGAGGAGGAGGAGGAGGAGGAGGAGGAGGAGGAGGAGGAGGAGGAGGAGGAGGAGGAGGGAGAAGGAGAAGGAGGAGGAGGAGGAGGAGGAGGAGGAGGAGGAGGAGGAAGAGGAGACCTCTTGAGAGTCTTTTCGGGGCTCTGAGAGCCTCCTCAGGCTCCATAGCGGCCTCGTGCCGCCATTCGTGACCGGCTTTAAGGCATCTTGGGGCCATCTTGAGCCAGATGGGGTCATCTTCGCCGTCTTTGAGGGCATCTTGGACCGTCTTGGCGGCAATGCAGCGCCATCTCTGACCATCTGGGAGTCGAGCCTGGTCGTCTCTCGGAGAATTCAGTGGGAGCCCTCTGGGGGCTCTCTTTGGGCGTTCGGGCGATTTCAGGCCCGTCTTGAATTATGTGGCCCACGGCCCATCCGCCACCGCGCCTTGGTATGATATTGTTGGGGACCTTCTGGGAAGCCTCTTGGAGCTCTCTCTAGGATCTCTTGGAGGCTTCTCGGAGCTCCCTCCAGGCTTTCAGAGAGTCCCTGAGTTCTTGAGAAGGGGCCCAGGCACCAAGAGGTTCTGAGAGGCTCAAGAGGGCTCCATGAGTGCTCCCGGAACAGCACGCCACGGTGTCATACCCAATGTTCCTGGTGTGATTCGTTCGAGGGCTTGCTTGGAATTCTGTGGGGGCCCTCTGGGGGTTCTCTTGGGGCGCTCGGGTGGTTTACGGCCCCTCTTGGATTATCTAGTGGCCTGCGGCCCATTCCGCCACTGTGCCTAGGTAGTGGGTCAGAATCCTCATGGATGCTTCTTGGGCTCTCTTCGGAAAGCTGTCGGGGGCCTATGGAGGCAGTTTGGAGGCCGCTTGGGAGCCTCTTGGGCCCTCTTGGGGCAGTCTGGGGGCTTTCTGGAGGTCTCTTGTGGACCTCTTGGGGCCTCTTGGGAGCCTCTTGGAAGCCTCTTCGGGCCTCCTGGGAGTCTGTTGGGGCGGTGAGCTTGAAATATCGATTCCTGTTCGCCCTCTGGGGCCCCATAGTCAAAAACCAACGGACAAATCAATACATGTTGCCTTTCGGGGCCCTCTTGGGAGGGCTCTCGGAGGCGCCTTGGGCCGTCTGGAGGCCATGTTGGGCGTCCTGGGGCAATCCTTCGGCGACTCTTGGCCCTCTTGGGTCCCTCTTGGAGCATCTTGGACCTGCTCTGCCGAAGGAGGGCCAAATTTAATCGAAGGCGGCCGAAAAAGGAAGGTGGGGGACCGCATTCTCACCCGGGACCCCCCCGGGGACCCCTCGCGGGACCCCTGGGACCCCCTTCCGAGACCCCCCCTCCCTGGGTCGGGAAGGGATTGGATAAAAGGGAAGGGGCTCCATTTCTACTCAATTACGACTTCGATTGCAACCTGGCTCGATTCACCTCGAGTTGACGACCTTGCAAGGCGCGCCACAGAGGATGATGAGGTGGGCGCGCCCAAGAGGACGCCAAAGGGTGCTCCGAAGACGACACACCCAAAACTTCCCCTCACACACGCCGACAGGGTCGGCGGATTTTGGTCTCTTAAGGCCTTCCGGATGTCTTCTTGGAGCCCTCATTGGCCGTATCGGGGGCTTCTTAGGCCGCCTTGAAGCCATTTGGGGCCGTTTGGGAGTCCATTTTGGGCCGTCTTGGAGTCACTTTGTAGCCATCTTGAGCTTTCTGAGGGCCATATGGACTTTTTTGGAGGCCATCTTGCACCGTCTTGTAAGCCATCGTGGGCCATCATCGCCATCCTAAGGGCTATCGTTCTAATTGTCCCCCATTTCTTCCAGTGGGCTGTTTTTTTTGTGCCAGAGGCCATTGGGAATGTTTTGGGAGGGTTCAAACAGCTATCCTCCAGCACGCCAGCAACCCCTCTTGTAAGCAACCGCGTCTGGGTCGTGGACAAGCGACCTCTTGGATGCCTCATGGGGCGTCTTAAGAAGCCTCGTGGGCGCCGCTTGGAGGCGTCTTGTGGGTATCCCGAGGGGAACTCCGCGGGAGCCTCTGGGGGCCTTTATCCCCTCCTCCTCCTCCTCCTCCTCCTCCTCAGTAAGGGCTCAGGCCCAGGGTTCTCTTTTTGTATGCGGGCCTTTGGCCCCATGCTGGCATGGCGGCGTCGCAACCGGGCACGTAAAAATGTGTTTGTGCGGAAGTGGGGGGTCTCCAACATGCGGATCGTCGCGCGCATGCCTTCGGCACTGGTTCCAACGTGTTCCTGGCCACAACGGAGCCTCGGCACTTGGCTCAAGTTCAAGTTCAGGCTCAAGGCTCAAACATCGCAAGAAAGCCATCCGGTAGAGAGGTGTGGTCTGGTCTTCAATACTGCCCCCAGCAACACCTCATATTCGTGTTCGCGTGCGCGGGTAAACCGAGGGATTTCCAGTTCCTGCGCTCTGGAACAACGGGGCCTTCAGGGTTGTCCAACTTACTCGTGTCGGCTTCTCCACGCGTAGACGTACCTGCGCTGAAGGGGGGGCGCGCGCGCGCGCGGGGCACACGTTTTCAGGTGTCCACGGGGGGGAGCTTGGTATCGCTCGGACGTGTGCGCTTTTTCTCGGCGGGAATCACTGAGGAGCACCCTGGATCATCCTGCGAAAGAAAGAACCACGCACGAAACCGAAGAGGGCACAGGGAATGGACGTCCGAGCGACGGGGAGAGAGCGGTATCCAAAACTTACCCGCGCCGAGTTCTCCACAGGGGAGCAGTGCGTGCGCGGAGGGGGAGCGTGCGGGCGGGGCACGTGCTTCCATACGTCCACGGGGGCGTCGAATGCCCAACACGGTGCGGGGGAAGCGTTTCGCTCGAGGCGTCCTTACAGAATGGGGACGTTGGAGGAGCTGTGTTACGACATTCGCTTTCAAGCATTACGTTCTCGCTTGAGACATCCTCGAGAAATGAGATGTTTCAGATCAGACTTCGGGTATCCAACATGGTGTGTGTGTGTGTGTGTGTGTTGGGGGGCATTTCGCCTGAGACACCCTCACGACGTAGGGATGTCGGATGAGTTGTTCTCAGACGTTGGTTCTCACAAGTGAAATCTTCGCGTGAGACGTCCTCAGGAAGTTTAGATGTTGGAGATCGTGTGTCGGATATCCAATGTGGTGTGGGGTGGGGGGGCGTTTCGCCTGAGACATCCGCACCAACTGGGGATTTGGGAGATGTTTTACGACGTCTATTTTCATTTACCCGAGACGTACCCAACCTTTTCCCCCGCGAGGGGAATCGTTGCATGAAGGTTCCATACAAAAGAACACATCGCCAGATGTGCACTATCTGTGCTGCCCTCACCTCCGCCGTCCCTCCCCGGAGCTCACGAAAGCTGCGACGTGTGCGCAGCTCGCAGCCACCCGGGGGGGCAGCGAGGTCCTAAAAAGGGCCCGCTTGGCCCCATACACCGCTGGACCTTCCAGGAGCCCACGCAAGTGGCGACGGTTGCGCAGTTCGCGGCCTCCCAGGGGGGCAGCGAGGTCCCCAAGCGATCCGCGCAGCCCCCATCTCCGCCGAGCCTCCCAGGAGCACGCGAGCGTGGCGACGGTTGCGCACTTCGCAGCCACCCAGGGAGCAGCGCAGGAGGAGGCAGGAGGAGGGGGGAGGACCAGGAGGAGGCAGGAGGAGGGGGGGAGGAGGAGAGACGTGGAGACCCGGTGCTCGATTGAAAACGAGAAACCGGCACGGGAGGATTTGGGTAAAGATGAAGTTGTCGCCAGAGACCTCCTCATAAAATGAAATGATGGAGACCAGGCGTCGGACATCCAGCATGGTGTGAAGGGAGCGTTGCGCCTCCACCGCACAACGGGGATGGTGGAGGAGCGGCTTGCGGCGTTTGCTCTCGGCCGCGAAGCTCTCGCCGGAGACATCCTCGGAAACTTGAGATGCTGGAGATCT